TTCATATAGTCGGACTTGAGTCCTGGAAATGGGAAGTACAATGCCTGCACTTTAAAGGAGGGGTTTTGGGGAAATATTGGCAGTTTGGAGGGATATGTTGTGTATCTTTATATGTTTATGCTTCTAGACTGTTGTATTCTGAGCACCTCTGCAAAAAAAGTGATAATGTGCGAGTGTGGTGAAAGTGTTGAATGATGATGAAGTATTTTCTTTTTGGGGATTTTCTTTCTTTTTTGGGTCACCCTGCCTCGGTGGGAGACGGCCGACTTGTTGAAAAAGAAAAAAAAAAAAAAAAAAAAAAAAAAAATATATATATATATATATTAATTTATATATATATATTATATATATTATTATATATATTTATATATATATATATATATATATATATTATTATATATATTTTATATATATATTTTATTATATTATATATATTATATATATTATATTTATTATATATATTATATATATTATATATATATAAATTTTATATATTATGTATATATATTATATATATTATATATATATATTTATATATTATTATATATATATTATAAAATATTTTTATATATATATTATATATATTATATATATATATTATATATTTTATATATATATATTATATATTATATATTATATATATTTATATATATTTTTATATTATATATATATATTATATATATTATATATATATATTATATATATTTTTTATATATATTATATATATATATATTATATATATTATATATATATATTATATAATATATTATATATATTATAATATATTTTTTATAATATTATATATTTATATATATATATTTATTATATTTATATATTATATTATATATTTTTAAAATAATTATATATATTATTATATATATTTTTTATTTTATATATATATTATATATATTATATATATATTATATTTTATAATATATTTTTATATTTATATATATATTATATATATTATTATATATATTATATATATATATTATATATATATATTATATATATATATATTATATTTATATTATATATTATATATATATATATATTATATTATATTTAAAATATATTTATATATATATATATATATTTTTTATATATATATATAAAATATATATATTTTAATAATACAAAATTTTGCGTTGTCTGTGAAGTGTGACCAAAGTGTAAGTAGGAGTAGCAAGATATCCCTGTTATCCAGCATGTTTGAGACAGAAAAAGAGACCAGCAATCCTACCATCATGTAAAACAGTTACAGGTTTCTGTTTCACAGTCATCTGGCAGGATGGTAGTACTTCCCTGGGTGGTTGCTGTCTACCAACCTACTACCTACATTATTACTTTTACCTTTATTGAAGACTCTTGTTGGCAAATGGAAAACACGAGGAGGAGGAGAGATTATTGGTTGGAAGGGATATCCCCCTCCTAAGGACTTCCGGTATCAAGCCCCTATCTGGGGTTACTTCCCTCCTCACTGCCATACGCGAAAGCCCAACTGCCTACAGTAGCTTCCCGCTCTTTTTCTTGACCACTTCCACTCTCATTCTCATGCCATCGCAGTGTACACAGATGGTTCTAAGTCTTCTGACGGCGTCGGATTCGCGGCAATGTTTCCGGACAGTGTCGTGCGAGGGCATTTACTATCCCTTTGGTAGCATTTTTCTGTGAATTTTATGCCTTTCTTACAGCACTTATCCGTATTGCATATATGCCTTTGTCGCCATTTGTGGTTGTTTGACTCCCTTAGTGCTTTACTGACTATATGAAAATTTGATACACCTCGCCCCCTGGTTCTCTGTATCCAACATCCAACTTTGGTTACCTGGAGTTTACCTGGAGAGAGTTCCGGGGGTCAACGCCCCCACAGCCCGGTCTGTGACCAGGCCTCCTGGTGGATCATAGCCTGATCAACCAGGCTGTTGCTGCTGGCTGCATGCAAACCAACGTACAAGCCACAGCCCGGCTGGTCAGGAACCGACTTTAGGTGCTTGTCCAGTGCCAGCTTGAAGACTGCCAGGGGTCTGTTGGTAATCCCCCTTATGTATGCTGGGAGGCAGTTGAACAGTCTCGGGCCCCTGACACTTATTGTATGGTCTCTTAACGTGCTAGTGACACCCCTGCTTTTCATTGGGGGGATGTTGCATCGTCTGCCAAGTCTTTTGCTTTCGTAGCGAGTGATTTTCGTGTGCAAGTTCGGTACTAGTCCCTCTAGGATTTTCCAGGTGTATATAATCATGTATCTCTCCCGCCTGCATTCCAGGGAATACAGGTTTAGGAACCTCAAGCGCTCCCAGTAATTGAGGTGTTTTATATCCATTATGCGCGCCATGAAGGTTCTCTGTACATTTTCTAGGTCAGCAATTTCACCTGCCTTTCACCTACCAAGCATGAAGATAGTTTTTTTGTTGGGTCCCTGGTCATGTTGACATACAGGGCAATGAACAGGCAGACACTGCTGCGTGGTCAGCAGTACATGACTTCCCAGTTTTATATAGAGGTGTTCCATTCATGGACTATTTTGCTGTAATTGCTACCCACCTTCGCACCCTTTGGCAACAATGTTCGTCTGATCTGCTCTATAACAAACTTCATTCTATTAAACCGAGTATAGGTTACTGGCCGTCTTCTTGTCATCAGTGTCGAGGTTGGGAGACTACTCTTTCCCATCTTCACATCGGCCACACTAGTCTTACTCACGAGTATCTCGTGGAGAGGTGCCCTGTTCCTCTGTGAGAATTGTCAGGTTTCAGTATCTGTTAGCCACATTCTGTTGGACTGCCCACTCTATCAACGAGCACACAGAATTTACCTCCATCTCCACTCTGCTGCTCTTTCTTTACCTTCCCTTCTTGCTGATAGACCCTCCTTTAATCCAGACACTCTCATTGACTTTTTGACAGCAACTGATTTACTCTACAAACTCTGATACCTTTAGTACTCCCCCTCAGCCCTTTCTACCTCAATCTCTTGCTACTCTCTACCCCTGCACTAACCACTGCCCCGCTGTACTCCATAACCTACTACTTGCCCCTCTCCCTCTTGTTACCCGGTACCCTCACATCCTTCCCTGCCCTGCAGCGCTTTATATCCTTTGTGGTTTAGCGCTTCTTTTTGATTATAACAAAGGAGGGAAGTATTATTATTGTCTTTTACTGGCACTGGGCCCCTGTCGCACAAAAAATCTGTCCAGAGAGGTCTGTTTCTGGCGTCTTTTAAGATTTGCCTAAAATGGGACAAGGTATTGTCATTGAACGTGTTGCAGACATGGCTTGCAATAGCTTTGTTAGTGATATTTCTCCACAAAACTTTGCAACTCACTCCACTTTGCAAACATGTCCTTAATCACGGAAGAGGGCACATTCTCCCCTCTGTCTTCCTCCTCTGAAGCAATTTCCTCAGCTGCGATCTGTTGCTGTCCCAGTTGAAGGTGTTGCAGCTCCTCAGTGGTTAGCTCTTCCCTGTGGTCGTCCACCAACTCTTCCACATCCGGTCACTCGCATCCAACCCCATGGACTTCCCCCAAAGACGCTATTTTCTATTGTGTTTCTTGCCTTTTTTATCAAAGGGCTGGCCTCGGAACTTTCTTTGGCCTCATGGTGGCTTATTTAGCAGTCGCACTCGATAAACAAGCACAAAAAGCAAAGGATTATTACGAAATGTTTCAGATGAACGTGCAGGGTAATGCTCACTTGACGAGAAACAAAGGCAGACTGACTCGGAACACGTGGGATGCTTTGTGTGGGCATGGGAAGGTGGACACGTTCAGAATGGCAGACAGATGACAACCAAAGTGTTGAACAAAAACTGACAAAATTTTGACGAAAAAAGTTTGTCCTGGTTTTCGTCAAATTCGGTTTCCAAATGAAAACCGAGGTTCCACTGTATTGTCTAACAATTGACGTACACTTGTGCATTATTAAGAGATTATGTAAGGATCTTATTTTCAGGGGTGGGTGACATTTCACCAAGATTGTACCAAATACTACTTAACATCACTCTTCCTCTGATATGTCTTGATGCTGGTGAGGGGCTCTTGAGCCAAAGGCTGGAACCTGACCCTTTGTTCTTGGATTGAATCTGATTACCTCCCATTCCTCAGGTGCTACATGATCCTGTATATACATTCTCATACTTTACATTTATAACTAACTAACTATTCAGTTTTAAACCCATTGTTCTCGCTTAAGACCATGTATACACCTTCCTATAGTTAAGCATTTGACCATATGAAACTTAATTTTTCCAAGGCTCATCCATGACTTTTTTTTTTATTATATTAAACCCTTAAATGGTCCAAACGTATATATACGTTTTTTCAACATCTGAAAGTATGTAAAAAAATGTAGATCTTCTTTTTTGTTTTACATTTGAAAACATGTAAAAAAAACTTTTATCTACATTTTTTTTTTTGTTATATTTGAAAATATGTAAAAAAAAAGTAGATCTACTTTTGTAGCACTACAAATTTGAACATCGATCTCTTTGGTCCGTTTAAGGGTTAAATGATAGCTGTAAAGCCTTACCTTGTAATGCTTTTCTGTGGAAATATCTGTTGTTAATGGGGATTTGGGAGGGGGGGCCTGAAAAAATATTGAGAATCAGATTGTAGGTACGTAGCCTTGCAGGTATGCAAGGACATAATCCACATTCCAGGGACACATTTGTTATTTTACAACTTTAGGGAGTAGCCAATTTCCCATTGAATGGTTAGTAATTTTTCTGTTGGTTATGGTCACAAGTTAACTTCCCTCTCAAAGGAGGTACCTTGATGCTAGTGATCCAGGAAATAGGACTTCTCCTTCATTTCCTTGGGTTGAACTTTATTGCCTCTCATTTCCCATGAGCTTTATGATCCCTGTAGGTTTAGTGTTTCCCTCAAATGTAACCTTTACCTATTTATAAAAATAGTCCAAGGTTATCAAACTAGCTGAAGTTACCTTTGCTTATGGCAGCTATATATGATTAATATTACATTGTATGTTGCCTCATTTCAGGATCAACTGCTATGATGTACTGAATGCTCAGACTCCTTTTGGAGGCTACAAAATGTCTGGACAAGGCAGGGAGAATTCTGAGTATGCCTTACGTAACTACTATGAAGTCAAGGCTGTCATAACCAAATTACCTGTGAAAAATGCCTGAGGGTAACAAAACATGAAAAAGGAAAAAAATAAGCATATCTTTCTTCACTGTAAAGAACTGTTTTGCTTTATTATAACTAATTAAGAATAGGATAAGTGATAGATATTGGAATCTTATCAATGAAACTGATAACTAATCCATATATTAACTGTTGTTCATTTTAAGTGGCCACAATGGTCAGCTTGCAACTAAGTATCTGGGTTTGAATCCTGGGCAAGATAAGACTTGGGAATGTCTACATTCTACCTGCTGTTTAGCATGTGAATTTTTTTCCAAGACATCGGCCGATTCCCACCAAGGCAGGGTGGCCCGAAATTAAGATATCATAAACTTTAGTGCTGTGTGAGAGAGTTTAGCACTTAAAATTATTATATTATATAATAAACTACAAAAATAAATATTACCTTATTTTTATTTAAACTAATTTAAATATCTTTTCCAACTCTTTAATATAGGGACAGCACTGTGTGCTTAGCACTTACTAATTATAATATAAAATAGGGCATTAGCAGGAAAATATTTCATTTGGACAGTGAAATGTCCAAAAAGAAGCTTTTTGTGATGCAATATCTCTTCTCATTAAGTTTAAATGTTGCACCATTCCCATTTTCTAAATGTTTTCCTGCTTTTTTTTCCTTTACATATATATCTGCTGCCCTTCTCTACAGTACAGTGCTGAATGACTGGTTTAGCACTTTTCATGATTATTAATATAGTTGATAACATCAGAAAAAATAATGCTATATGAAACTAGGTAAATATTTTACAATCTTTATTCAAAAATATAAGTTTTAACTGAATAAATACATACTGGCAATAAGTTTTAAGTTTCAAGATTAGCATTAAAATGTCTATAAAAAACATTAGCAGCAAATATTTCTTCACTTAACCTATAAAATAATTTCATTCTTGTAACTCCTTGGAAGGTCCTTGTAGGGTAATACAATGGAATTCAAGACTATCACTTCAGATGGAACAGTGACATTGCATCCTGAGGAGAAAATAAGTTTAGATTATGTACACAGATAACCTTTATTACAGTATGTAAATGGATGCAATAAAAATAGCTGATTGTTGGCTTCCCCTGGTTACTAATGAGAGTATTTATCTATATTATTATTAAAGCACTAAACCCATAAAGGTCATACATTATTATTATTATTATAATCAAAAAGAAGCGCTAAGCCACAAGGACTATACAGATAAAGGTCATACAGAGCTGATCTAGATTTTAAGCAAGCTTTAGACAGTTCCCCATGAAAAGCTAATTTGGAAACTTCAAATTAAGGTAAGCTTTTAAAATGGAGTGTTTGAGCAGTAAATGTGAACCATTGATAGGAACAATAGCCAATTCTTGCAACACCCCACTTATGTCTCCATAATATTTTTAATTTATTTAAATGACTTACCAGGGAGAATATAAAATGTCAATATTTGTGGACGATCCAAAAATAAATTAAATAAAAATGTCTAAAAGATAAAGGAGATGGATGATGGAATTTAAAGTGATATGGAAAGCAGAAGGGTAAGGGTTGTCCCAAGAACTGGGGGGAGGCGGGAGGCAAAAGGCTCTATTATTAAATTGGACTTTTCCTTCCCTTCCTTGAATTGAACCTGAATGCCTTCCATTCCTAGACACTGACCCCTACCCTATAATAAAAATTATAATAAAGTGCTAAACTTACAGGGTCATACAGTGCTGCAGGGCAGGGAATGGTGCAAGGGCATTGGGTAGCAAGAGAGGGAGGGATTATTATTAGGTCATGAAGTGCAGCAGGGCAGTGGACAGTGCCAAGGGATTGAGGTAGAAAGGGCTGTGAGGAGTACTAGAGGCATCATCATCAGTGTTTGTGCAGTAAATCAGTTACTGTCAAAAAGTCAGTGAGTGTGTCTGGGTTAAAGGAGGGTCCATCAGCAAGAAGGGAAGGTAAAGTAAGGACAGTAGAGCGGTGACGGCATTGAAGGTAAATTCTGCATGCTTATTGATAAGAGTGGGCAGTCCAACAGAATATAGCTAACAGAAACTGGAACCTGACAATTCTCAGAGTGGGACAAGGCACCTCTCCATGAGGTATCTGTGAGTAAGACGAGTGGCTGATGCAAAGATGGGAGAAAGTAGTCTCCCAACCTTGACAATATTATTATTATTATAATCAAGGGGGAAGTGCTAAACCCGGAGGATTATACAGCGCCTGGGGGGGGGGGATGTGGAAGGTATTCAGGCTTAATTCGGGGAACTGGAGCACAGATCCAATTCCCTAAATCAAGAGCCCCTCACCAACATCAAGGAACCTTGACAATAATGACGAGAAGATGGCCAGAAACCTATACTACTTGGTTTAATAGAAAGTAATTTATTACGTAGACCAACTGCTGAAGATCAGCAAGCTGAGTGTGTTGCCTCCAGTTCTAGAAGTGTAAAAGGCACATTATAAGATTCTCTGATAGAAGAAAAGTTAAAGGGCTCTAACTCTCTGGCAGACTTTGAGGCATAGATGAAGCCCGAGAGATACGGAAAAGATGATTACCAATTTCGGTGGTAACGTCGAGAGGGTTTGCTATATCGACACGGGCAACCCGAAGAACAGGAGCCGGGTCAGAGTATTTACCACTCAGTTTTCGTACTTTTTTCCAGACCACTCGTAGAAGCAGAAATGACCATAGAAAATCCCGCCAGCGAGTGCATTCAGCTTCAAGGATGACATGGCGAGTAACTACTCTCCTCTGTTTAAAATCATGGAGTCTCTGGTTCTTTTGTACTGGTACCTGCCCCATGCAGCGAGTTTCAAACGTACTGCCTGAGCACAAGCAGGAGACCACCAAGGCATGCACTTCTGAGAATGCCTGCCTGAGGTTTGGAGTATAGAATGTGAAGCTGCAGTTAAAACCGAGGTTGACAAGAGGTGTAAAAGCTCATCAATAGAGGATGAAGGAGCCTCACTAAAAGCAGACCCCGAGTAAAGGTCCCAGATTGCTTGGTCAAATTGCCAGCATGGGCTACGAGGTGGTAAATGTGAAGAAGGATGATTGGAAAATGATCGCTGTCATGCAAGTCCGGGAGGACAGACCAGGTGAAGAGCAGACAGAGATCGATGCAAGAGAGAATGAGTATGATAATCAAAATGGGTGGGAGTACCCACACTTAAAACATGGAGGGGGAGACAAGCGAGAAAAGCCTCCAACTGAATGCTGTGGGAGTCAGTGAGAACCTCCCAGAGGAAATGGTGGACATTAAAATTGCCAAGTAACAAGAAATGCAACATCTGGGATAGATAATCCCTGAGAAGGAGATGCAAAGAACAGATTGTATGCCACTTATTCAAGTGGATGCAGGCTGCAGTGAAGTATGAACAAAGAGCTTATGATATGGAATACCGGTGCATAAAAGAAGTGCACTTTCATTAAAGGTTCCATCAGGAAAAGCATCTGATGAATATAATTAATCACAGCCCGAGATGAGATGCATAACAGCAGAGCGTAATTTGGGTTCTTGTAAACAAACACAAATGGGAAAACTGGAACAACACCTGAAGCTCACCTCGGTTACCTCTGAGGCTGCGGTTATTCCACTGTAAATAAGCCATGATTTGCAAAGAGAAAGATACAAGCTGAAGGTAGACGTATCTATGGACTAGATGGGTTAGGAAAGTCCACACATGGAGGCAGCGAAAAACTTAAGCAGTGAAGGATTGGGACGCTGTAAAGAAAGGAGTTGTGTAGACAGAGAAGAATGAAATGGAGGAACAGGAGGTAGATCGGTGTCCATCACAAGTCTAGTCTCAATATATTCGGATATAGTTTCAAGTGTTTCAGAGGACAAGGATGTTGTAAGTGGGACGATATTGGAGATAGGAGGAGGGTGAGTAAAGATCGGGCGACAATGGAATGTACCCAAGTAGAGGGACACAAAAGGGTAGAGGGAACTGGACAAGAAGCTTGGGAGGGGACAGGAGAGGAAGCAACCTGAGAGGGGGCAGAAGAGGAAGAAACTTGGGAGGGGATGGGGAGGGAGGTACTGTACGAGGATGATGAAGAACCTCCACACTCGTAACAGAGCCAGTTAGAGGTGAAGAACCAGGTACAGAGACTAGAAAGGAAAAATGTGCAGGTAGAAGAAGGGAAGGAGGGGTTAGAGATTTTAACAATGGGAATTTTTTGGACTTCAAAAAAGTAGAGGGGCTATGGGGAGAAGGAGTTGTACGAGGTCTTGTAGACACACAAACTTGCGAGTGAGAAGAGGAAGAGGTGAAAACAGAATGAGGTGTTGAGGTAGGGATCTCTGAGTCCAGGACATCAAAAGAATTAGAGACAGAGATGACTGTGGAAAGGGTGACCAGAGGAGGCCGCAGAAGTTGGGACCCCAGAGGTAGGGGGTCGTTTAGTAACTGGGGAATAAGAAATACGGGGAAGACCCCTGGAGGCGTAGATGAGAGACTGCCATAGCATAAGGAAAGCCATCTACCTGTGAGACGATGGATTTCTCGCTCATTTAAGTAAACTTAGCAACAGCGAGAGTAAGATCGGTGAGCCTCATAACAATTAAGGCAAGAGGGAAGCAGACTACAAGACGTATTGGTATGGTCAACGGCACCACAGACTGGGCATTCGGTCGTGGACGTACAATATTTCGCTGGATGACCAAAACATCAGCAATTTCTACGCTGTTACAGTGTACGGATCACCTTTTGAACTTGTAAATGGTGTCCCACAATATAAACCGTGGACGGAAGCTCATGAGAGCCAGAAGTTAAACGGGCTACATTGTAAGGGTAACGTTTCCGCCTGTGGGCAGGGAGGACATAAGTGTCTACTTTGAGGATTGGGAGGTCTTGGAGCTCAAGCTGTTACAGAATGTTGTCACCACGTCTGGAAATTCTGTTGGACAATGGTACGAGGTAGAATGACAATACCACTACAAGAATTGAGAGAACGATGTTTTTCAATAGTTACAGGAATAGCATCTACAGTTGTAAGGAGAGTAAGATTGTGAGCTTGGCTAGCATTCTGTACCGTGATGAACAGGCAGACACTGCTGTGCGGTCAGCAGTACATGACCTACCAATTTCCTATAGAGGTGTTCCATTTCTGGACTATTTTGCTGCAATAGCTACCCACCTTCGCACCCGTTGGCAACAACGTTGGTCAACTCTGCTCGGTAACAAACTTCATTCTATTAAACCGAGCATAGGTTACTGGCCGTCTTCTTGTCATCAGTGCCGAGGTTGGGAGACCACTCTCTACCGCCTTCGCATTGGCCACACTCGTCTTACTCATGGGTATCTCGTGGAGAGGCACCCTATTCCTCTCTGTGAGCAGTGTCAAGTTCCAGTATCGATTAGCCACATTCTGTTAGACTGCCCTCTCTATCAACGAGCACGCAGAATTTACCTCCAACATCGTCTTTGTTCTACTACTCTCTCTTTACCTTCCCTTCTTGCTGATGGACCCTCCTTTAATCCTGACTCTCTCATTGACTTCTTGACAACGACTGATTTACTCCACAAACTCTGATGATACTTTTCGCACTCCCCTCAGCCCTTTCTAGTTCAGTCTCTTGCTGCCCTTTACCCTTTCACCATCCACTACCCCGCTGTTATCCGTAACCTATTACTCATCCATCTCCCTTTTGCCACCTGATGCCCTCGCTTCCTTCCTGCCCTGCAGCGCTGTATAGTCCTTGTGGCTTAGCGCTTCTTTTTTATTATAATAATAATAATATACCGTGATGATGTGTGCACTGCTCTTGAGAGCATGAAAGGATATATCTCGCCCAACATGGCATAGGAGCGCCTTGCTAATACTATGATCGGAAAGATGGTCAGAAGTCGGTCACAGTAAAAAACTTAAGTCCATTGTGTATTTTGAAACATAGGATGTAAGGGGAAGGAATGTTGTGCTGGTCTTTTCTGGCCAGAATGAGGAGTATCATCAGTTAATGGTCTTAGGTGTGAGACCGGAGTTGGTCCGACATGGGATGGGTGGGCGATCTGAAAAGTGCCGCACCATAGAGGGAGAAGCCAGAAGCATGGTCAAAGAAGTGCAGAGGTCAGATGTATCAAAGGAGTCAGGCGGAACCCCAGTACCTGGAATGGATGACGAAACGGCACCAGTAGAAGGTACAGGGGCATGAGAAATGTCCGAAGAGTGGTCAAATAACGAGGTAGGGTTGGAACAAGGTGCAGTAGCAGAAAGGGGCCTGAGGGGAGCTGTTTCATGGACTTGGGATTCCATGGTTGTCACTTTCTTTTTTTCTACAAAAAAAGAAAGAAAAAAAAAAGGGGGAGATGTGGAGGGATAGCCCCTAGGAGGAATGAAAGGGCCGTAAATCCTCCTCCACGCCCAAGAGGACCCTGGCACTGCAAGTAGTGCAGATGCTGCATGAAACCCATGCCATACCCTACCCTTCATGCCAGTAAACCAGCAATCTAGGATAGCAACCTCACATCTATTGAGCCACCTCAGTGGACAAAAGGGAGGGCAGCCGGATACCCGCCACAAAGCATACTTCCTTTGGCCACCACCCCCCGGAATCTGAAAGGAAGCTTTCAGAGATACACCCGTCACCTGAAAGATACCCAAAGCCACCCCTGGGAGACCAGAGAGAGTGGGACACCCCCAGGCAATCCAGATTCCACAGCAAACTACACCACTACCACGAATATTGACGAAATGGGATGGACCACGGTACCCTTATCCCTACCTAGGAACTAGAGTGCCTGTGGGAAGAATCCCAAAGGGGATAAGAGAGGGATGGGGAGGAGGAGGAAAGGGAAAAGGGGGGATGGGGAGGATGGGATAGGGAAGGTGGGATTGGGAGGTAATTAGGTTCGGTCTGAGGAAGGAGACCAAAAGGTCTAATTCCTCAGACCGAGAGCCTCTTCACCGTGCCAAGAAGTAACCCCCTCCTTGAAGAGGATTAAAATCTAATAAAATGTGGTGAACCAGCAGGCTTGTTTGTGTGTGTTTAGAGCAAATGGAGAAAAGGTAGTTTTTAATGGATGTGTTGCAACACTGCATGACCCTTGTTGGTTTAGCACTTTATTTGATTATAATAATAATAATGGATGTGTTGTTGGAGTGTGAGCAAGGTAATATTTATGAAGGGATTAGGTGAAACTGGTTAGCTGGACTGGAGTACTGATGGTGGGAAGGACAGTGCCTGGATGCTGAAGAAGGTGGGTATGTTGTAGTTAAAGTACTGTAATCTGATTTACAATGTTAGTAGTTTTGGAAAGATTGCAGTTAAATAAATGATAGTGAATGTGTTCTTTGGGTAACCTTGCCTTGAGAGACCTATTTTTTTTTTTTTTAACAGTGGCTATGTAATATTAATTTTTCTTTTACCCTGATTTGCTAGTACAGTTGGTAAGCTACTCCTGCAAGGGACACCAGTTAAGGGCTTTTGATCCAGGGAATTTTAGCAACTCTTTCATTATCTAGGATCAAACCAGATTGCCTCCCTTTCCCCAGGTGCTGTACGAGTTTAGCACTGTCCTTAAATAAAAGCAAAAGATAGATTTAAAGATAGTCACACACTGTGATAAGAAGTTTAGACAGGATTCAGCATTTCAAACATCTGAAGGACACTTTATGGAGGAACCAGAACAGTGTTTATATTGCTGCTGCTGTTAGTTCTGGCTAAGTAAGCAACAGTTACTAATAAATATTAGCTCAAGCATAACCTGTTTAACAAATGAATTCAGTCATTGACAAATGGTGTAAATATTAATATGGTGTAATACTAGACAAAGAACAGTAAGTAGGATAACTGCAATGCATGATTTATAAGAAAAGCGAAAGTTGAGAATAAAGTGAATCACAGACGGCAAGTGGCTGATGTAATGAAAGCATGGAAGAAATGAGTAGGAAGGGATGTGGGTACAGGACTGCATCAAGCAACTGCTCCAATCTCGGTGAATCAGTAAAATATTAATGTATCATGAGTATGAAAAAAAACAGCAAACAAATGAAGTGAACTTGCATTTTAAGTACAGTGGACCCTCAGTTATCGGCCGTAATCCGTTCCAGAAGGTCAGCCTAAATCCGAAAAGGCCGAAAACCGAAATGTTTCCCATGAGAATTAATGTAAAGATTATTAATTTGTTTCAGACACTCAAAAATATTAACAAAAAAAAAAAAACATTTTTTAAAGATTAACTACAGTTTTACATACACAAAATAATGAGAATTAAATAAAATGACAAATGAAAATTTACCATCACTTTTACCATTATTAAAGACTTGTTGGTGCTAATATCAACTCTACGGCTTATTTATCTAATATGACATAATAAATAATATAATGTAGAAACATAATATATACTCTAGAATGAATAAAATATGTTATTACGTATTTGGCTAGTAGTGGTGTGGTGGTGGTGGCGGCCACCACCACTAGTCATACTACTAGTCACACTGAAACAATGTATGTAATTTATAAGTAAATATTATATAAACACATAATAGAGAATGTAAAGAAATAAAGTGGTTATTGAGATGCTGGCACAGGTTTAGGGTGGTGGAAGATATGCAGGGTGGAATACGTTGTCAGTGGCCCTATATACCTCCAGCAACATTAGTTCTACAGTTTTGTGGCGTCCTTTTTCTATCACTTAATCGCTTAACTTACTTCCTACACTGTTAATGCTACACTTTATCGCTGGCTGGCGCTATAAACTTTATCAACTCCTGCTGCTTTAGTATCGTACATATCGCAGAATCACTGAAAAAGGCACATTCTCTCTTCTCTCAGCCCTTTACAAAAGGGCTTGCTGTATAGTCCTTGTGGCTTAGCGCTTCTTTTTGATTATAATAATAATACAAAAGGGCTGGCACTAGGAACTTTGGGCCCATGGTGGCTTATTTTGCAGTTGCACTCAATCAATAACCACAAAAAACAATGGATTATAGCAAAATGTTTGGATGAATGCATGGAGGCTTCCTCACTCACCCAGACACACAGCCAGACTGACTCACGAATGCAGCGGAGCAGCAGGTGGACGCGTCCAATATGGCCAATCTCCGAAATAACAGCCGATAACCAGGATAGAATTTTGGCCAAAAAAGCAGGCAAAAAACGAATTGGCCGATATCCGGAACGGCCGATAAAGGGGTCCACTGTATATGGACAGAAAATGTGTGCAACTAATGGAGTTTATATATGAATAAACATTACCACGAGTGAAAACTGAAGGAATAATTAATAGATATACTAGACCAATATTTTTCATAAGGCAATATAAATACAGTACTGTATATATGAGCAATAGTTTATACTAGAAAGTACCAAAATGGACCCTAATTCATATTTCCAAAGTGATTTTTATATGAAACGCTTCAAGTATGTTAAGTCTGTTAATATGGTACTGCACTACTAAAAAAAACAACACCATGCTCTTAACTATGTAAAGCTTAATTCAGTCACTAACACTACTTAGAGAATGATCTCATTTTTGGTGCTAGCTGAAAGTTCTTTGTAAGGAAGAATTATGGAGTTTATCACCACCACCTCAGAGGGCACTTTGACATCATTACCTGAAGCATATGAAAAGTAAAATAATGCTAAATGTTTTCAAATTCTTTTAAAATGTAAATATGAATATGAAACACTTTACATACACTTTATGCTGTACCATTAAATTATTAATTGAAGCAAAGGTAAAGGTTACTCAGATGAATTATAGACAGGTTCTTTATTCAAGAAATTGGAGCTACTCTCCCTTTCATTAGATCAACTCTGCTTCCCAAATACTGTATAAACCAGTATGGGTTTAGCACTCCACTTGAATGTAATATTGAAAGAACGATAGAAAGATATAATTTTAAAGACTAAATTATGTTTTAAGAACATGCTGTAGGCTATACAATTACCGTATTTTGAGTACTGTATATAAAAGAGCTGAGCTTGTGAATTTCCCTCTAATGATCTGGGAACCTGTAAACTATCCAAACATTACAAATGAACCAGGTATGTTCCAGTTAGCCAAGAAGTATCCCTTGTCTTCTATTATTATTCCATGTATATCCTGAGAGAACAGAAGAATTGTTAAGTAACATTATATAAATTTAAACTTATATATGTCCTACACAGCAGAATTTAACTAAAAAAAATAAGACAATATTGTCTCATGTACCTAACGTACATTTCAAAGTGCCCCAATAGATGTGCCTGTCTGAAGAATGCCTTAGAAAAAACAAAATGATAAATCACCCTTCTTGAACCCCATGGAGGAAGCAGACCACTCCTCACTAATGGGTAGGGGCACCATTCACATTACCAACAATATTAGTGGGTTAACTGTCTTTCTTTTTAGTGTTTAGTTTGATTATACGTAATACCTGGAGTTTACCTGGAGAGAGTTCTGGGGGTCATCACCCCCGCGGCCAAGACTGTGACCAGGCCTCCTGGTGGATCAGAGCCTGGGCAACCAGGCTGTTACTGCTGGCTGCACGCAATCCAACATACGAGCCAAAGCCCGGCTGGTCAGGTACCGACTTTAGGTGCTTGTCCAGTGCCTGCTTGAAGACAGCCAGGGGCCTATTGGTAATCCCCCTTATGTATGCTGGGAGGCAGTTGAACAGTCTCGGGGCCCCTGACACTTATTGTATTGTCTCTTAAAGTGCTAGTGACACCCCTGCTTTTCACTGGGGGGATGTTGCATCGTCTGCCGAGTCTTTTGCTTTCATTGTGAGTGATTTTTGTGTGCAAGTTCGGTACTAGTCCCGCTAGGATTTTCCAGGTGTATACAAGCATGTATCTCTCCCACCTGCGTTCCAGGGAGTACAGGTTCAGGAACTTCAAGCGCTCCCAGTAATTGAGGTGTTTTATCTCCGTTATGGGCGCCGTGAAGGTTCTCTGTACATTTTCTAGGTCAGCAATTTCACCTGCCTTGAAAGGAGCTGTTAGTGTGCAGCAATATTCCAGCCTAGATACAACAAGCGACCTGAAGAGTGTCGTCATGGGCTCGGCATCCCTAGTTTTGAAGGTTCTCATTATCCATCCTGTCATTTTTCTAGCAGATGCAACTGATACAATGTTATGGTCCTCGAAGGTGAGATCCTCCGACATGATCACTCCCAGGTCTTTGAAGTTGGTTTTTCGCTCTATTTTGTGGCTGGAATTTGCTTTGTACTCTGATGAAGTTTTAATTTCCTCATGTTTACCATATCAGGGTAAGTGAAATTTCTCATCGTTGAACTTTATATTTTCTGCAGCCCATTGAAAGATTTGGTTGATGTCCGCCTGGAGCCTTGCAGTGTCTGCAATGGAAGACACTGTCATGCAGATTCGGCTGTCATCTGCAACAGAAGACAAGGTGCTGTGGCTGACATCCTTGTCTATGTCAGATATGAGGATGAGAAACAAGATGGGAGTGAGTACTGTGCCTTGTGGAACAGAGCTTTTCACCGTAGCCGCCACGGACTTTACTCTGTTGACTACTATTCTTTGTGTTCTGTTTGCGAGAAAATTATAGATCCATATACCAACTTTTCCTGTTATTCCTTTAGCACGCATTTTGTGCGCTATTATGCCATGGTCACACTTGTCGAAGGCTTTTGAAAAGTCTGTATATATTACATCTGCATTCTTTTTGTCTTCTAGTGCATCTAGGACCTTGTCATAGTGATCCAGTAGTTGAGACAGGAGCGACCTTCTCTAAACCCATGTTGCCCTGGGTTGTGTAACTGATGGGTATCTAGATGGGTGGCGATCTTGCTTCTTAGGACCCTTTCAAAGATTTTTGTGATATGGGATGTTAGTGCTATCGGTCTGTAGTTCTTTGCTATTGCTTTACTGCCCCCTTTGTGGAGTGGGGCTATGTCTGCTGTTTTTAGTAACTGTGGGACGACCCCCCGTGTCCATGCTCCCTCTCCATAGGATGGTAAAAGCTCGTGATAGGGGCTTCTTGCAGTTCTTGATGAACACGGAGTTCCATGAGTCTGGCCCTGGGGCAGAGTGCACGAGCATGTCATTTATTGCCTGTTTGAAGTCATTTGGCATCAGGATAACATCAGATACTTTTTTTTTTTTTTTTCAACAAGTCGGCCGTCTCCCACCGAGGCAGGGTGACCCAAAGAAAGAAAAGAAAAATCCCCAAAAAGAAAATACTTTCATCATCATTCAACATTTTCACCTCACTCACACATAATCGCTGTTTTTGCAGAGGTCCTCAGAACACAACAGTTTAGAAGCATATACGTATAAAGATACACAACATATCCCTCCAAACTGCTATCCCAAACCCCTCCTTTAGAGTGCAGGCACTGTACTTCCCATTTCCAGGACTCAAGTCCGGCTATATATATAGGCTTGTGTTTACCAAATTCTGTGGCTCTCTCATAAAAAATTCATTTTGATCTTCGACTCTCAGTCTGTTTAGCGGCTTGCTAAAAACTAAGTCATACTGGGACTTGAGTAGCTCACTCATTTCCTTGCTGTCATCTGTGTAGGACCCATCTTGTTTAAGTAGGGGCCCAATACTGGATGTTGTTCTTGACTTTGATTTGACATAGGAAAAGAAATACTTTGGGTTTCTTTCGATTTCATTTATGGCTTTTAGTTCTTCCCACGATTCCTGACTCCTGTAAGATTCCTTTAGCTTAAGTTCAATGTTTGCTATTTCTTTGACCAGTGACTCCCTACGCATTTCAGATATACAGTGGACCCCCGCATAACGATCACCTCCGAATGCGACCAATTATGTAAGTGTATTTATGTAAGTGCATTTGTACGTGTATGTTTGGGGGTCTGAAATGGACTAATCTACTTCACAATATTCCTTATGGGAACAAATTCGGTCAGCACTGGCACCTGAACATACTTCTGGAGTGAAAAAATATCGTTAACCGGGGGTCCACTGTATTGGCCTCTTTTAGCCACTCTCTTATTCTTTTCCTTCGCCTGTAAAGGGAGCGCCTGTCTCTTTCTATTTTACATCTACTCCTCCTTTTTCTTAAAGGAATAAGCCTTGAGCATACATCGAGTGCCACCGAGTTAATCTGTTCTAGGCATAAGTTGGGGTCTGTGTTGCTTAGTCTATCTTCCTAGCTTATATCATTCAGGACTTGGTTTACTTGGTCCCACTTTATGTTCTTGTTATTGAAGTTGAATTTGGTGAAGGCTCCCTCGTGACTAATATGTCGGTCTGGGGCTCCGCGCATACATGTCTGAACCTCGATTATGTTGTGATCTGAGTATATTGTTTTTGATATGGTGACATTTCGTATCAGATCATCATTGTTAGTGATGATTCTCCAGTCTAGTAGGCTCTATTAATTGCTGGTTTAAGTTAAATTTTGCAGAGATTTAAAAGCTCGTGTGTGTGTGAGTTCTCATCAGAGCTGCCTCCTGATGTTATCACTGCAACATTATTTGCTATATTCCTCCATTTTAGGTGCCTCAAGTTGAAATCCCCCCAGGAGCAAGATGTTGGGGGCAGGAGCTAGCAGATTTTCCAGACAGTGGTCAATTTTTAACAGCTGTTCCTGGAATTGCTAGGACATTGCATCCGGAGGCTTGTAGACTACCACAATGACTAGGTTTTGGTTCTCGATCTTTACTGCTAAAACTTCCACTACATCGTTTGAGGCATTAAGCAGTTCTGTGCAAACAAGTGACTGCGATATACAGGCCAACCCCCTCGCTTTTGCCTGTTCACTCTGTCACATCTGTATAGGTTGTAACCTGGGATCAATATTTCGTTGCCCAAGTGATCCTTTATGTGGGTCTCTGAAAGCCACGAACATTGCATTTGCCTCTGCAAGCAGTCCACGGATGAAAGGTATTTTGTTGTTCGTTGCTGGCTTTAGACCCTGTATATGTATTTGCAAAGAAGAATGTCATCAGACTGGTGGTACTGGGGGGAGTGGACTTTTTTTTCTCGCACTAATTTTTACAATTTTTATAGTGAAGAATGTGAACCCAAGAAGCAGGGGCATGTTGGAAAATTGTGAAAGTTTTTTTTTTAAGTATAGAAGTAACAAGAGTGTGGGGGCAAGTCAGGTTTATGTTGGCAAGGTGTATGTAATGCATAGATGCTAGGTTAAATTAGGAAAGATGTCAGGAAACAGGACAACTGTTCTGTGATGCTGGTCTTAGTCATACGACCTGCCACCGAGGCTTTTGGTTATCTGACTGAGGCCTTCTGCTGGCTTACTGGTCCACCCCTTTGAAAACTAATTCAACTGTATCCTTAAGTTCCACATCAAACATGTCTATGCATTGCATACTCTATGACTTTCAATTAAGCCTTGGTTAACTTGTGATGGCCAAGAAAAACAATGAAATTTAAAATGTACTATACCAACATCCAGAAGAATTAACAAATTTATTTATAAATGAACTAAACTTATCAATTCACTTACCAAGAATAGTGATTGATGGATTTAGTTTGCCTTCAGCATTGAAGAGTGGAACATTGTCCATTTTTGCAAACGGTTTATTTGGATTAGGGTCACATGGTGTACCTTCTAGTCGTGTCCAGGCCCCAACAGTAGAGTTCCACCCAACGACACTAGAAAGGAAATGGTTTTATTTAATAACACTGTATTATGTTTTAAATAATAAAATGCAAATATACACGTGCATGTGAGGAAAAATTTGCATTCCTCACACACTTGAAAAGCAAAGCTTATTACGACTATACTTCCTCTACAAAACATGATTTACCAATCAATTTACATCCAGCTCAATTTACACCCAGGAAGGATGCACTGGGGTAGAGTTAAAGAGCTTTGCTAATACTGTTTCACCTTTCTAAGATTTGAACCTAGGGCCTGGAGAGGTAAATTACTTGGAAAATATAGCACAGTGGAACCACTACTTATGTGTGTGCATCCACGTGTGAGTTTTTCCAGATACGAGCAGTCGCTCGGTCGATTTTTTGCTTCCAGATGCGAGTGGGCCTCAAGGGAGGTTCCTCGATGCTGGTGAGGGGCTCTTGCTCTTGATCTAGGGAATTGGATCTCAGTTGTTTGTTGAAACTTGGGCAATGTATGATGGAAAGATGCTTCTTAGCGTACACCAAAAATTAAAGAAATCGGACCATAAATAATGGAGTTCACTTCTCAGCCATTAGCCTCCCCTTAGCGGTGTATTTTCATATGGTTTTTATGGTTGTACTGTCGTTTTTTTGGTCTCATTTGATAGAATGGAAGATATACTACAGAAATAGATATGATTTTGATTGGTTTCACGACGAAAAGTACCTTGAAATTGAGCTCAGAGTAGCAGAAATGTTCGATTCTCTGACGATGTTCAAGAATAAACAAATGACATCACCATCCAATGCCTGTCTGATTGGCACTGCCCCTCAACCTTCACATATTGGAAAGCTCTTCAACATGCTAGCAAAAGTGGGATCAGACAACATGAGGTAGCAGTGGCAGACAACATGGAGTAGCAGTGGCAGACATCATGAGGTTGCAGTGGCAGACAACATGAAGCAGCAGTGACAGACATCATGCAGCAGTGGCAGACATCATGAAGCAGCAGTGGCAGACATCATGAGGTAGCAGTGGCAGACAACATGAGGTAGCAGTGGCAGACAACATGAAGCAGCAGTGGCAGACAACATATTAGGGAAATTATTGAAGTATTTTCTCGTACATGGAATTCCAGTGGAATAAATTAATTCCATTTCAATTAATTTAAAGGAGGATAACTGACTCTGCAAATGAGCAAATCCAGATGCGAGCAAGGTCATGGAACAGATCAAACTAGTAAGTGGAGGTTCCACTGTACAGTGAAACCTCGGTATACGAACTTAATTCATTCCAGAAGGCCGTTCGAGTGCCACTCCGTTTGGGTATTGAACAAGTTCTTCCCAACCAATTTTCTGTTTGGTTGGCTGTTATCACTAATCATTGTAGGCCCCACGGTGACTTATTTATACAGATAATACAAAAAGACACCAAAAAATGCGAAGAAACATGAAACAGTTTACAGTGAAGTTCTGGCAGGTCATATTTGTTTGGTCGAGTGCTGAGCTTTGTTCGAGTAGGGAGCTGGTCATATACTGAGGTTCCACTGTATCATAAAATATTCTAAATGTACAGCAGGGCCCCAACTAATGTTAAATCATTTAAATAAAAAGAGCTACAATACTGTATAACAATAGTATTTGCATCTGCTTGCCATTTCCTTACTGCTGTAGTGTGTGAGGCAGGAGGAATGAGGTGAGAAATGTGTAGAGGCAAGATACGTGCTGGACTGCCTCCCTCCTTCATATTCACTCCCACCTCTCTTGCATCATATTGAACTAAATTATTATTATTATTATTATAATATAAAAAAAGCGCTAAACCTCAAGGGTTACACAGCGCAAATATTGAACTAAAGACTATATATATGCTATCCACTTTCTCACTGCTGTGGTGAGAGTTGATGTGCTTAGGTATGCAGTGTGTGATGGAGGATGTTGCACCCAGTAAGAAGAGCTACCACTTCCGACACCTCACCATCTGACGTGTTCAGCACATCAGCAGCAGTGGCAGCATTATTTATTATTTAAGTTATTTAGTGGCAGCAGCCACTAAATAACTTATTTATTAAATCTCTAGTTTTTACCCAGTCTCTACCAAACAAATGTGAGTTCTCTATACATCCTTATAAATGTCACAAATATTAGCTGGTTCTTAACCAATCTCAACCACAAAAATGTAAGCTTTCCAAATTTGCTTGAAATGAACATAAAGTATGAATAGGTCTGGTAAAAACTAAGATTAAAAATTTTTTTATGTCAGCATTAAGAAAATCTTAAAAATAGTAGTTCTGCTGTCAGAAAAGTCACTTGTTTGCAAGAGATTCCGAAGTGCCAACAAAATAAACCTGAAACATCATTAGTTGGGGTCCTTCTGTATGTGTTGAAAATTTAAGTATTTAGGATGAGTTCCTTGACCAAAACTCAGATATGATTTAAGATACTATTAACCCTTTCACTGTTGAGACTCCTGCTCAAAAACTTGCTCTCAGTGCCCCCCCCCCCCCCCCCAAAAAAAAAAAAAAAAAAAAAAAAAAAAAAAAAATCTTATGAAATGATAGAGAATCTTTTCCCAATAACACCAAAAGTATGAAATTTGACGGAAAACTTGCAGAATTACGCTCTCGTGAAGCTAGTGGTCTTGGTGATATTTACGCATTGGCGATTTTGCCCACTTTGAGCCCTGTTTTCAGAAAATTCCAGTGTTCCAGTCGACCAAACTTATAGCCACTTCACTAGAACTCTTGTTCTATCGACTGAATACAAGAAACCGCCCATTTACCAATTTCAACTACCCAATAAAGTGATCAGAAATTGGTAATCTGGCCAGTTTCATACACAATTCAGGGAAGATCAATTTCATAATAGGGTCCAGAATTAATAATGCAAACATTCCTAGCACTAAAATAACATTTTCTCTGTTCATCGGTCACGTCTCCAGGCCCCTCTTATATTACGCTTACTTTCCATTTTGAATATTTATTCACCCAAAAAATAGAAGATTTACTGTTATGCAGACTACTGCATTATTGTAAAAATGGTATAAATAATACCAGCGCATTTGTGAAAGTACACCAACCATCCGACTTACGACCTGCTTGACTTACGACCACTCGACTTACGACCATGTTTTTTAAGCCAAATTTCTGGGAAATAAGCAACTATTTGTGTTGTACACAGTGTTTATCCTAAACCTTACAGTATAAAATACAGTACTAACAGCATAAAAAGTAAAGTAAAACATGAAATACCAAAATAAAACAATAAAATAAAGTCATTACAAAAATGTTTTGTTGATATTCAGTAGTAAAGTTCGTCATTGTATGTCGTTATCATGTCTCCCCTGACCCTTCTGTCCTCCAGTGTCGTCAGTCCGATTTCCCTCAACCTTTCCTCGTACGACATTCCCCTGAGCTCTGGGACTAGCCTTGTTGCAGACCTTTGTACTTTCTCTAGCTTCTTGACGTGCTTGACCAGGTGTGGGTTCCAGACTGGTGCTGCATACTCCAGTATGGGCCTAACATACACAGTGTACAGTGTCTTGAACGATTCCTTATTAAGGTATCGGAACGCTATTCTCAGGTTTGCCAGGCGCCCGTATGCTGCAGCGGTTATTTGGTTGATGTGTGCCTCCGGTGATGTGCTCGGTGTTATGGTCACCCCAAGGTCTTTCTCCCTGAGTGAGGTCTGTAGTCTTTGTCCACCTAGCCTATACTCTGTCTGCGGTCTTCTTTGCCCCTCCCCAATCTTCATGACTTTGCATTTGGCTGGATTGAATTCGAGAAGCCAGTTGCTGGACCACATGTCCAGCCTGTCCAGGTCTCTTTGCAGTCCTGCCTCATCCTCGTCCAATTTAATTCTTCTCATCAACTTCACGTCATCTGCGAACAGGGACACTTCAGAGTCTATTCCTTCCATCATGTCGTTCACATATATCAAAAATAGCACTGGTCCTAGAACTGACCCCTGTGGGACCCCGCTCGTAACAGGCGCCCACTGTGATACCTCTTCACGTACCATGACTCGTTGCTGCCTCCCTGTCAGGTATTCTCTTATCCATTGCAGTGCCCTCCCTTTTACGTGCGCCTGATCCTCCAGCTTCTGCACTAATCTCTTGTGGGGAACTGTGTCAAAGGCCTTCCTGCAGTCTAGGAAAACGTAATCTACCCACCCCTCTCTCTCGTGTCTTACTTCTGTTACCTTGTCATAAAACTCCAGGAGGTTTGTGATACAAGATTTGCCTTCCATGAACCCATGCTGGTTTTCATTTATAATCTTGTTCCTTTCCAGGTGTTCGACCACTCTCCTCCTGATAATCTTCTCCATGACTTTGCACACAATACATGTCAGAGACACAGGTCTGTAGTTTAGTGCCTCATTTCTGTTTCCTTTCTTAAATATGGGGACTACATTAGCTGTCTTCCATTTCTCAGGTAGTTGCCCAGTGAGTGAGTGAGTGAGTGAGTGTGTGTGTGTGTGTGTGTGTGTGTACTCACCTATTTGTGGTTGCAGGGGTCGAGTCCTAGCTCCTGGCCCCGCCTCTTCACCGGTTGCTACTAGGCCCTCTCTCTCCCCGCTCCATGAGCTTTATCAAACCTCGTCTTAAAACTGTGTATGGTTCCTGCCTCCACTACGTCATTTTCTAGGCTATTCCACTGCCTTACAACTCTATGACTGAAGAAATACTTCCTACTATCTCTCTGACTCATTTGTGTCTTCAACTTCCAATTGTGGCCTCTTGTTTCTGTGTCCCCTCCCTGGAACATCCTGTCTTTGTCCACCTTGTCTATTCCACGCAGTGTGTGTGTGTGTGTGTGTGTGTGTGTGTGTGTGTGTGTGTGTGTGTGTGTGTGTGTGTGTGTGTGTGTGTGTGTGTGTGTGTGTTGTGTGTGTGTGTGTGTGTGTGTGTGTGTGTGGTGTGTGTGTGTGTGTGTGTGTGTGTGTACTCACCTAGTTGAGGTTGCGGGGGTCGAGTCCGAGCTCCTGGCCCCGCCTCTTCACTGATCGCTACTAGGTCACTCTCCCTGAGCCGT